AAAAAAAAAAAAAAAAAAAAAAAAAAAAAAAAAGGAAAAAAAAAGTGGGGGAGATGAGTTGGCACAAAATGATGGGTTGGGTGAACAAATCTAGAAAGGAGTTAGCTGAGTTCATCATTCATCTAATCATTATCTCATTAATTAAAACAGAATAATCATATTTTATTATATTATATTATATTATATTGTTTCTTAATTAAGTTGGTTTTCCGCACCCCTGCAATCTTCTCATCAATCAAATTCAACCCAACATTTCCCAATGTCGTTGACTTTGACTTTTTGTCAAAAAAAAAAAAAAAATTATTTTATTAATATAAGTAATTACTTAACTATGGCTTTCCTAGGTTAAGCCGTAAACATTAAAATTTCGAGTTTGTTGAACTGGTGACATGAACAATCTAAATAGAGTTTACAACCTAATTCAACCTTATATTTCGTGTTGGGTTGGGTTGGGTTGAGTTGGGTTGGTCTGTCTAGCTGTTTTTTTTATTAAATTTTACTAATCTACTTTACATATTAAATTAATAACTAAAATTTTATAAAATTCAAATGTCAAACGTTCACAAATCACTGTTCATCTTTTACATAGGTTGCATAGATTAAATATTTGTAACATTCATAGTAATCTTAAAACTATTACACGGTATGATTGAGTTGAGTTTGTTTGTAACTTTATTTTTAAACCTCAAAAGATTGAACTCGACCCAAACTAAACTGAAAAAATAAAAATCAGACTTAACCCATGTTAAGTTTGAGTTGGATAGTTTGAATTAGTTGGGTTTTCAGATCGTATCGATATCCATAAATCGAATATGTAATTAATCATTATATCATGGTAAGACATCGTTATTTAATTTAAAGGTATAAAACTTTCAACGTGTATTGTGATGTCACACATTGGTTGGGGAGGAGAATAAAACACTATTTGTAAGGGTGTGTTAACCTTTCCCTAGTAGACACGTTTTAAAGCCTTGAGGGGAAGCTCAAAAGCGAAAGCCCAAAGAGGACAATATCTGTTAGCAGTAGATCTAGGCTGTTACAAATGATATTAGAGCCAGACACCAGACGATGTGTCAATGAGGGATAATATCTGCTAGCGGTAGATCTGAGCTGTTACAAATGGTATTAGAGCCAGACACAGAATGATGTACCAGCCTTCTCGCTGTTCCCCAAAGGGGATGGGTAGACACGAGGCGGTATGCCAGTAATAACGCTGACCCTGAAGGGGGTGAATTGTGATGACTCATATTAGTTGGAGAGGAGAACAAAACATCGAGTGTGGAAAGCAAAGCAGACAAGTTTTAAAGCCTTAAGAGGAAGCCCATAAAGGAAAGCACAAATAAGACAATATCTGCTAGTGAAGGATCAAGCCGTTACAATAAAGGAAATAATCCCACACAAGGACCCACAAAGCATATCCAAAAACACAAATAAAACTAGTCAAATTCATGTCTTAACCACTTCCAATTTTAGTTAGTCAAAAACTTCAACAAATTTCATTAAAATTTTACAATTTAAAATAAATAATTTCAGTATTAATTAATTTAAATTTGAAAAGTAGTCTATTAAAGTTTTAATTTTTTGTTATCTTAATCTTTATTAATAATTAAAATTTTAAACCAAAAAAGATAACGAACATGCTTAAAAAATAAAACCATAAATAATTGAGGGATTAAGATTAATTAAGATTAATTGAGATTAATTAAGATTAATTGAGATTAATTAAGATGAAGAATCACAAAAAGGTCTCTGACATAAAATCGTCTCAATATTCCTCTAATTATATAAACTTGATATTTCCCTAAAATTTCAGTGATTCTTACCTTCTTCCTTGTGCAGACATTGGCTATGGCTTCCTATGATTCACTCATCATGGCGGCACTGGAACCGGCACCGGCGACGGTGACGGCAATGGCAAGTTCTGGTTCGTTATTGTCGTTCTGCTTCTTCATTGTGTTCTTGTTGTTGTGCATCCAGACTTTGAGGACTTGCCGTTTCACTCCGACTTCGCTACAGAATCTCTCCACTTCTTCTTCGTCTTGCTTTTGAATCCTCCATCCGATCTTCTCTGCGAATTCGAGCATCCGATCCTTTTGATCCTGTGTGAACTTCGTACGGAAGCGCTTTTTCGACAAGGTGTAGGAAGACGGCGGCATGACCTCGGCATTTGATTGGAAGACGTTCAAATCCTCGCTGGAAGAATCGGTTCCGCCACCACCGGCGTAGGCGACGTTCATCGGAGCGATGATCGGAGCGGTAGGACTGGAATGGAGATTCAACGCCATGGAGAATTTATGGTGTCCGTGGAGAGCGGAAGGAGACGGTAATGGCGCAGGAAGCTGGAGATGAGGTAACATTAATCCTCTTCTGTAATTAGCACCGATACTTAATTGATTCTCGCCGTCAATTTCTTTCCTGTGGAAGTTTCGATGACATTCACAGGCGGCACATTTCAAAGCCTCTAGGGTTCCGTCTTCACCACTAGGCATAAACTCCCCGCATCCGTCGTATATATTCCCCCCAACGCTCGCCGCGTGATTCTTCAAACACTCCCGATATCTAACTCCAGTCCCCGCTCCTCTCACCTTGGATCTACCTCCGCCTCCACCACCACAACCACCACCACCACCACCGCCGCCGCCGCTAACATCCTCTCCAGCAACAAGATCAGCGTCGAGATTCTCTGGTTGGATATGATGATGAGAACCATTATGAACCGACTCGATTCTCCTGTCCACAACTCCAGACGACGTTTCCCCAAAAATATGCGCATATCCGACTCCACCGCCAGAAGCAGCAGGCATCATTACTTCCTTTTCCTGCTCTCTCATATCCATGAATTTCAAAACCTCAACCACAAGAGAGATGAACAAACAGCAGAGAGATCTCAAAACAAAGCACGGATTTCAAACAGTTTGAGGTACGCAAATTAATTAATTCCTTCCTTGCATGCTCTTTTTTGCTCTATTTGTTCCTCAGAAATCCCCCACGAAATTAGATAGAGATAGGAAGAGCTAGGCATAGGAGTAAAGGAGCGGGAGAAAGGTAGCGTTGCGCATTTGAAAAAAAAAACGAAGTCAGATTCAGAAACCAGATTGGTTTCATCAGCACCATGAACTAGAGAGAGAGGAAGAGAGAGATTAGGGTTTGTGAAGAAGAGAGAGAGAGAAGGGTTAAAGAGGGATTTAATTATTTTATTTATTTATTAAAAAAAAAAAAAAAAATTGCCTCAAGGGATCCAACAGGCCAGCTACATAAGCAACAAGAGACAGGTTGGTTGCTTAAGGAGAAGCCGGGGGGGGGGGGGGGGGGGAAGNAATGGTAATTAAAGAGAGAAAAAGAAGCGACAAGGTCATGTTCATCCCTCTCCCACGGCCTGCCATAATGGGACCCACACCCCGCCCCACCACACCCTATCATTATTGCTGTGCCAATTTTTACAGCGGGGTAAAAGTGGTAAAAGTGAAAAGTAATAAGAGGGGGGGTGAAACAGTAGTGGGGTTGTCGCGTTGCTTTCTCTCTCAGAGTGTGTGTAGAATTTGGTACAGAAGAGAGAGAGAGAGAAGGGGGGAAGAGAGAGGAATTCTGAAACGTCTGCAACACCACGCTTGCCCCAAGCAATGTCTTTACCTTTCTGTGATGCAATCGATGCCTTTCATTTGTCTCTCTTTCCACGTCTTTCCTTTCAACCAATCCCAATTCTTCATTAATTTTCTTTTTTACTTCATACAATCATTAATAATAAATACATGTTTATCAATTATTACTAAATTATGTTTATTTTGACAATTATTTTAAATATTCATCGCGCCACTACAACTACTCGATTTAAATTTTTGAGTCCGACTTAATTAATGTTTGAAAGTGTTCAAATGCTTAACCATTTATATTAGATGCAAAACTGAATGTTTAGCTCCATTATACTAGACTTTATTCTAAACCCTAAACCCTAAACCCTAAACCAATTTATTGGAATTATTGGACTTTTGTTTTAATTTTTACTTTGGACATGCGCACACATAGGGATACTAGTCTCCAGAGTTGTGTTTATTGGGCTTTGTTCGTTCGAGTTGGGAAGGCTTAGGCCCAATTTTCTTTAAGATGGGCCCATAAACGATGTCGGGCTATTTTCAATGGGCCTTTTTTTTATTTTTTTTTATTTATTTTGTGTTTCGTGTGTAGTGAGTATCTATCCGTCTGTTTGTATTTGGGAATTTGTATTTGGGAATTGGGACCATAATGTATTTTGCTGTCACGAGATGAATGAAAAAAAAAAAAAAAAAAGGTGAAATTTAGCCTTGGGGGCCTTTCTCGCTGGGCGAGTGCATCCGATTCGAAAGTCCCCAAAGCGCATCCGATTCGAAAGTCCCCAAAAAAGTTTAGGCTTAAGAACAATGATGATAGTTTAGTTGTCTCTTTTTGATGCTGAAAAGACCACTGGAGGCATCTATAAAAAAAATTCCGTCCTCTTTGCATTCAAGACGTTCCGTCAATCTGTTGTTCATCGATAGACGAAACTCTCTCTTTATCATCTTGTGCGGACGTTTTTCATTCTTCACCCGGTCCAACGTAGCGTTTCAAAAGTCAAAGTCCAAATTCCAATTAAAAAATACATAGATAATTTAATCTCTCCATTTTCGTTAGTTGAACATGACCATTTTCGTAAGTTGAACACGACTCTCCATATGATGTTGTCCACTTTGAGCAAACTCATGGCTTTGTGACTTTGTTTTGGGCTTCCTCAAAATGTCTTATGCCAATGAAGATAATATTCTTTTATTATAAACCTAGGATCAATTTCTTAAATTAGCCACGAAACTTTCATCCAACAAAACTAATTAAACTCAATTAGTGACAAACTTGAGTTACTAATCTTCCTCGTCTAATTAAACAACCCGATCACACGAATCATTGGAATCTCCCGACCAGACCAACCACGATTTTGAACTGACATGTCTGAAATTTTTGTAAGGATGCAGCTTAAAAACGTGGCTGTAAATTCAAATCCACAGTCCAAAGCTCGAGGAACAATATTTTATAACGCAAGCTGTACCACAACAACATCAGATTGGACCCAAATCGCCAAATTGCCAATCAGTGACCACGATGATGCTGAAAAGGTATGGCCCAGAAGGACAAGTCCACTAATTTTTATACATATTATACGTATTTGATGTATGAATTTCGTTGAATCTGGAAGAGTACTTGGGATTATCTTACTCTGGAAAGTTATGTATGCATAATCCACCATTTCTTCTGTGTCTATATAATTGTTATTGATTGTGGCATTTCGTCGAACAGATCGCGCGCCAGGTTGGAGTTCTGATTACGACGGAGCTGTTGATCTTTGTCAAAAGGGTTCGGGAGGATGAGTTTCAGAGACGATAGTGAAGATGGGAGAGACCTCAGGAAGCCATTTCTGCACACGGGGAGTTGGTATCGAATGGGTTCGAGACAGTCCAGTCTTATGGGTTCGTCTCAGGCAATTCATGACAACTCCATCTCTGTACTTGCCTGTGTTCTCATCGTTGCTTTGGGTCCTATCCAGTTTGGCTTCACGGTAACTTCCTGTTCTATCCTGTTTTCAAATCTTTGGGAGAATTTGGATTAGATTCTATTGGATTGGAAAGGTATTGGTTCATTTCCGTTGAAACCTTTAGACTAGTTGGGATTTGGTTGTTGGATGGAGGAAACTAGAAAGAACTAGTAAGATTCTGATACCAAACTTGTAACACCACACATCGACAGCTCAATTCACAGGAGTTACCACTGATATAAACCATTTACTTCGAAAACTGATAGTAAAACCTAAACATTTTCATACATATCAAGTAAAACACATGAAATGGATTATCTATAGTCTCTAGCCTACTGGATTCGTCCTCGGTTGACCTGCATCATCTATATCTAGAAAGAAAAGTAAAAAAAATCTTACTAAATTAGAAAGAACTAGAAAGAACTAGAAGATAAGATAGAGAAGAGCATATGAAATGCAACTGGTTCTGTTGATTGTTCTAAGCTAGATTTCTGCTTGTTGGTAACTCTGGAATCCAATTGTGTTGAACAAGCATTCAGAATGAGTATTGACTTTGCAGGGAGGGTATTCATCACCGACCCAATTCGCAATTACTCGGGACCTTGGGCTTACTGTCTCGGAGGTTTGTCTGGTTTGTTCTTTTTTCTACCTTTGTGAACTACAATGGTGGCTGACCTGATTCATGAAACAGTATTCTCTATTTGGTTCTTTAAGCAATGTTGGTGCTATGGTTGGGGCTATAACCAGCGGTCAGTTGGCTGAGTATATCGGGCGAAAAGGGGTAACACGGGTTTTATTGATTCTTGCATCGATTCGTCTTGCTGAAGCTTTTCTTCTGTTTAGGTGACTAATCTGACTCTAATGTGCTTGATTTCAGGCCTTGATGATTGCTGCAATTCCCAATATTATAGGGTGGCTTACCATATCATTTGCAAAGGTTAGTATGAAAGAGATTCATTTGGTTTCAAACACTCTTCATATGGCAGCATAGACTCATATATAACCAATTTTGATTGTTTATGTAGGATTCTTCTTTCCTCTACATGGGGAGGTTGCTGGAAGGGTTTGGCGTGGGGATAATCTCTTATACGGTATGACTTTAGTTTCGGCTCGGTTTTCTTGGGTTATGTGTTTTTACTGAAGGGACTCTCACCTTTTCCTTTAGGTGCCAGTTTATATAGCTGAGATAGCCCCCCAAAACTTGAGAGGAAGTCTTGGTTCAGTAAATCAGGTTGGATACATTTGGTATTTGTACCATGAATTGTCTTGGAATTGGTAGTAATTTTGATTCTAATCATCTCTCAACTCAGCTACTTTCACTTTTGTCGTGTAGCTGTCTGTTACTTTGGGGATAATGCTGTCTTATTTGCTGGGACTATTTGTACCATGGAGAATACTTGCAGTTTTGGGTGAGTTATCTAGAAGGATTTGTGTTAGTACTCATTGTCAGCTGTTAATCAGTGATATCTCTCCTCTTTTAGACAGACAAGTAGTGCTGGTCTATTCTCTCATCGTATATTATTCTTCGGTAAACAAGATCGTTCACTAAAAGTATTCTCTTTTTCTAAAAAAAAGACATGCTCTAAATTCTTGTCTTTGATAAGACAAGAATTCTCTCAGCGTATATCTTTTTTTAAAAAAAAAAGATAAACAAGGATTATGTCAATCAATTTATATGTGCCTTTTGTCCGTCCTATACTTGCCTGCTTAGCTTTCTTAGCTAACATTTTCGGTTTCTCCCAAACCAAGAGGTCCTGCTTATCCATATCCTTAATAAGACAAGAATTCTCTTGGCGTATATTTTACCAGTCATGTTTTCCTCTTTAACATCAAAAATTACAAAATTTAATTGACTAAACATCACCACACATTTCTTTTGCAGGAGTTTTGCCTTGTACAATACTGATACCTGGATTGTTTTTCATCCCAGAATCTCCAAGATGGCTGGTAAAATCCTGACATCAACATCTTCAACTTGATAAAGCTAATTTTTAGTTCTTTCAGCTTTTTATATAGTTTTCGATCAACCTTTAGGCAAAGATGGGGATGACAGAAGAATTTGAAACATCTTTGCAAGTTCTTCGTGGCTTTGATACTGATATTACTGTTGAAGTAAATGAAATCAAGGTATACACATAATAAATTCAATGAATTGGGTTTTCCCAAGTCCTGTTTCTTCATGAAGAACCATGAGAAGTATGTCTATCTCTAACTATGTCACTTCATCAAGTCAAATAACTTTTTCCTACTTACATTATGCAGAGGGCTGTAGCTTCAGCCAACAGAAAAAGAACTATTAGATTTGCAGATCTGAAGCAGAAAAGATACTGGCTCCCTTTGTCGGTACTGGGCGGAGATTTTGAAGATTCTGTATACGTATATTTCATTTTAAGCCTACGATTCAGGAACTTATTTTTCCAGCTCTCTCATGTTATGCAGATTGGTATAGGCTTACTTATTCTGCAGCAACTAAGTGGAATTAATGGTGTTCTATTCTATTCAAGTACCATCTTTGCATCTGCCGGTAAGTAAACATTTCTGGCCTGCATTATGATAATACAGGGACCAATTAAAAAAATCTCATTCATGGTTCAATTGAGTCCACATTAGCTTGAGAGAGAAACGAAATATTCCTTATAAAAGTGTGGAAACCTACCTAATAGACGCGTTTTAAATACTGTGAGGCTAACGGCAATACGTAATGAGCCAAAGCGAACAACATCTGCTAGCAGTGGTCTTAGGCCGGTACAAATGATATCGGTGTCAGACACCTAGCGATATGCCAGCGAGGATGCTGGCTCCAAGGGAATGGATTGCAAGATCCAATATCGGTTGGAGAGGAGAACGAAACATTCCTTATAATTGTATGGAAACTTCTTCCTAGTAGACGCATTTTAAAATTGTGAGGCTAACGACATTACGTAATGGACCAAAGCGGACAATATCTGTTACCGGTGGGCTTTGGGGGTATAAGCTGCCCTTGTTTCCTCTATTTTCTAGTGTAATTTCGGTTAGCGGTGGGCTTGGGGGGTATAAGCTGCCCTTGCTTCCTCTATTTTCTAGTGTAATTTCTGTTAGCAGTGGGCTTAGGGGTATAAACTGCCCTTGTTTCCTCTATTTTCTAGTGTAATTATGATTACCTTCCATATTGATAGGAACCATAACTAAGAATGGAAATCAAGAAAAATAGAAGCGAAAATACGTTGTACTACCGAAGACAATTAAAGGGTACTAAACATTCGAGAGTCTTAGTTCTGTCCTAAACCATCTCAAAATTTGCCTGCTGAACCCCCTCCGACCTACTACTCTATATATAACCCTAGCTAATGACAAGTATGTCTTCCTAATATCATCTCCTTTGTAAACAGGAATTACCTCCAGTAATGCAGCTACATTTGGCCTTGGCGCTGTTCAGGTACAATCTATTATTGTTGTGCTTGCTCAGTTACTGATTTTCTCCATCTGGACTCTGCTCATCAGCAATGACTTGCATGTTTTTTAGGTTGTTGCCACAGCAGTTACAACATGGGTAATTGACAGAGCTGGACGTCGTCTTCTACTTATTGTGAGTTTCATGTTAGTGTTCCTATTTCTTGTAACTAGTCAACTTCGTTGTTAATTCTCTTTTACTTTTTCGTTTCAGATCTCGTCTGTTGGAATGACACTTAGCCTTCTAATCGTTGCTGTGGCATTCTTTGTGAAGGTCAACTAGTTCTTTTTTTGTTTCTTCCATAGCCTCAAGATCTTAGTGAAATGTATCTAAGCTTTTCTATGTTTCAATATCGATATCAGGACGCAGTCTCTGAGGATTCCAGTTTGTATAGTATATCGGGAATCGTGACAGTCGTGGGGGTTGTGGTATGTCCAAGTTTACACATCATTTAAAACTAGTTGTTAAAGCTTGATCCTGTAAATGAATAGGAGCAATGTTTCTGCAGGCCATGGTTGTTACTTTCTCTCTCGGTGTTGGAGCAATTCCATGGATCATAATGTCTGAGGTATGCCCATCATAGCTACTTTTGTTTAAATAAAAAGAGAAGAAAAACTGTGATGTCCCATCTTAGTTGGGGAGGAGAACAAATCACCCTTTATAAGGGTGTGGAAACCTTCCCCTAGGAGATGCGTTTTAAAGCCTTGAGGGAAGCCCGTAAGGGAAAGCCCAAAGAGGACAATATCTGCTAGCGGTGGATCTAGGTCATTACAAATGGTATCAGAGCCAGACACCAGACAATGTGCCAGCCTTCTTGTTGTTCCCCAAAAGGGGTAGACACGAAACAGTGTGCCGCTCATTACAATATCTGCTAGCGGTGGATCTAGGTCATTACAAATGGTACCAGAGCCAGACACCAGACAATGTGCCAGCCTTCTTGTTGTTCCCCAAAAGGGGTAGACACGAAACAGTGTGCCGGTAAGGACGCTGGGCCCCAAAAGGGGGTGGATATGGGGGCGGTCCGACATCAATTGGAGGAAGGAAAGAGTGCCAATGAGGACACTGCCCTCAAAGGGGGGTGGATAAGAAACCAGACGATGTGTCAGCCTTCTCGCTGTTCCCCGAAGGGGGGTAGACACAAGGCGGTGTGCCAGATTAATTCGACTTGACAGGAGGGAGAGTACGGTCTTTATTATTATTATCAACAAACTTTCTTCGAGTATTCTTCAATCTATCTTTTCCTCTCCTGTAAAGATCTCCCCAGCTTCTTATCTTGCTTGTAGAGGCATTAAGCTCCCGGACCCCATTTCTTTCTTTAACTCAGTCTTGAAAAGAAGAACCTTTGACTCTAATAGAGGGGCAGTCGGAGCTCTCCCAAAAAGCCTGTTAATCGCTTCAGACACTCGAAACTGGAAGGATAAAAAACCCACCCGGTGGAAGTCGAATGAATCTCCCTGATTGAATGAATTTACTCTCTCCCCTGGGCCGGAGCAATGAACCTATTCGAAGCGGCTCATTTCCCTGGAAGAAAAACTATTGCTCTTCAGAGAACTTCAGGGGCTTTTCCTTTCAAATGACACCCACTTTGTTCTCAACAGTTCTAACCCCCTGGGGGAGGCTCTGTCAGTCATTACCTTCGAGATACTTCGGCAACTTTTTAGGAGTTGGTTTTGCCTTGAGGGAGAAGTCTTTTATGATATGACATAATAATTAATCTTTTACATCGTTGAAAGACTCTTCAAATGAAAGAAAGATCAGCTCATTCACCTTCTCGATATGTATCAGAGATCACTTGATTTAAGAATTTTCAGTCTGGAGGGGGGTGGATTGTGATGTCCCACATTGGTTGGGGAGGAGAACAAATCACCCTTTATAAGGGTATGGAAACCTTCCCCTAGGAGACACGTTTTAAAGCCTTGAGGGAAGCCCGAAAGGGAAAGTCCAAAGAGAACAATATCTGCTAGCCGTGGATGTGGGTGGTTACAAAAACATTGTTCTTGTTTCCTTTCATCATTCTTCTCCTATTTTACTGTAAAACAGCCTAGAATTAGTGAGGTTGTTGGAGGGGTTTGTAAAGCGATGGCCATTTAGAACATAGAGAAAGTTTGTGATACAAGTTAAAGCTAATCTGTAGTATTATTGGTGGTGGGGTGCAGATTCTTCCTGTGAATATCAAGGGGCTTGCTGGTAGTATAGCAACATTAGCCAACTGGTTTAGCGCGTGGGGGGTCACAATGTCTGCAAACCTGCTCTTAGAATGGAGCAGTGGAGGTATGTTTACTCTATTAAGCTATGACGCCATAGGAGTTTTTATATTAAAATTCTGCATCTAAAACTTGCACACGAGTTTAGAAGTCGTGTTAACTAACTATGAACATAGCTCACCAATCATAAGGAAAAAAGTACATGCTAATTACCATTGAGGTTATCATTTTCTTCTCCGTTCATCCATTCATTTATGTTTAAACTAACTAAGATCTCACATATTATAAGTTAGATAGTATCTATGAATATCATCTGAGGACACCATGGGGTTTGACAGGAACATTCACAATCTATTTGGTGGTGACTTGTTTCATGGTGCTATTTGTTACTCTGTGGGTCCCTGAGACCAAAGGCAGAACTCTTGAAGAAATTCAGATATCCTTCAGATGAAGAAACCCCTTCTTTTCCTTTCATTTATTGGGTTAGGAAGAGGACATTTTGTGAACAATCAGACCTCTCTCTCTATCTCTTTCATTTATTCCCCGTCTTCTCTTTGGCTTTTCTCGTTCCAAATTTTTGCAACACCTTTCTGTTGCACCTCTCTTTGGCCAATAATTTTGTTTATAAAATTTCATTACATTGAAATTTATTTCATGTATCCTACGAGAGTGTTTATGAATTTGGAATGTTCGTGAGTTGGGTTGGGTTGAACTTAGTCATTTGTTTTTTTACCCCATTCAATTCTTCTGGGTGGGTCAAGTAAGGCTTTTTGGGTCGTTTATAAAAGAAAATTTAATTATTGATTTGGACATTCCCATGATTTCTTCCCACGACTTTAGCATACTTTTTATTTTTCACAATTTTACAATTTTAGCATAGATTTTTTCTTGACCTGATTTTTTTTTTCAGGATTTTATTAGCATTTCAGTTCTATTCGTCTCAATATTTGGCCACCCATTTTCAACATTTCACAAAAACTAATTCTCAATTATTATATGCAACGTAAGATAATAAACATACAATGAATGAAGATAAGAGGTCAATATTTAAGATAACATGCACATGCATATATAGAACATATCAAACATGTCTTGTCGCCTAGTTCGATAAATTGAAATAAGAAAGTAAAGTAAAAATGAAAAACACTTAGTATATATATATATATATATACTAAGTAAATAAAGAAATATATGTAAAATATCTTCCCACTCCTTCCCTATTCCCTAAATTAAATGACATCTCATTTCAAGTTAAAAAAAAAAAAACCGGTTATTGCAAAAAAAAAAAAAAAAAACTTGTGAGATTTCTATAAAAATAACTAACATATACACTTCCATTTATAAGTTCATGTACAAGTAGATAAATTAGACCTCTAACCTCCATTGGACAAAATTCAAAAATTTATATCAAGAGCTAACTTAAACATAATTAATACATAATCTTGACGAAGAAGTCAAAAATTTGAATCTCCGAATATTGAACTCAATATAAGTACTTGTACCCATCTTATATCAACATTTAACCTCAATTAATTATATTTGAGTTAACAAAACAAAAAAAGGAAAAAAAAAAAAAAAAAAAAAACTAAGCCCAAGAAATAGAATATATAACTTATAGTTATTAAAAAAAGTTAACTAAATTAGAAAAGATATAAAAGAAACTAAGGAGGCAAAGATATTAAGTCATATCTAAAAAGGATATCCCCATAACCCACCCAATCAATACACTGTCATCAGCCAACATAACCAAAAATATCTACCTATGCGGACCAAACGGGCCTCAAAGGAATGGAGTATCAAAGGCCACGTGCTGCTTAGGAATCAGAAAAACATTTGCCATGTAAATGAATAAAAACAAAGGTACCTGGTATTATAGAAATAGCAAAGCAATTTCAGTACCCAAGTTGTGAGCCACTCATATCTGTTCGTCTTTTTCAGTGGAGCCCCTTTTCCTTTTTTCCTCTGATGAAAGACAATCCAATAGAATTCACAATAGAGAGATAAAGAGAGAGCAAAATTACGAGATTTAACGTATTCTCGTGGAACTTGATGTACTCACCCTCCCTTTTTCTTTAATTGATGAGTTTTTTTCTGAAGCATTGGTTGTGTGTGGTTCTCTTTCCTTATCCCATTCCTTACAATCCTTCTATTTTTTTTTCTCGCACCCTTTTTTTTTTCCTACAAAAACAGAATGCATTATCTGCTTTCCTAGTTCATATCAATTCTAACAGTCAGTTTTTAATATAGAATCATGACTGAAAAAGAAAATGGCTTGGCTGACGACCCAGGGTGGTTTGAGCTAAAGTTTCCGGATCTGTTGTCGGCCGATAGTGTACGTGAAGTCCATGCTAGAATTGTGGCAGAATGGGATTACCTCCAACGTTCGGCGTGTCAAATGGCAGCAGGAAGAGCGCTTTGGAAGCATGTGATTCACGATCCACTAGCAGATTTACTTGCTGGAGAGGCCTGCCTGAGAAACCTGCATGAGAAGATAAAGAAAGATCGAAGCAACAATGCAAGAGAGATGTCTGGAGTGATTCTTGCTGTTCGTACCCTCTGGTTTGATTCAAAGATTGAAGGTGCTCTGACATCCTTCAATGGCAGAGATTCACAAGTCGTTCTCCTTGGTGCAGGTTGGTATTTCAACTCCCAGACACTTGTGCATTTAGTTAACATTCAAGGATAAGAAGATAGAAAAATTGCACAAATAATAACCTCTTTTTTCTTATCTAGCATAACGAGTTCCAATCAGGGTAGTTACTAGGCATGTTAGAACTGCAAAATAAGAACAGCAGTGAAATTAGATCTTACACATTGATATCTAAGATAAAGAAATGTACACACTCCCCTTTTTCCTTTTTCTGTACGTGGGGTAGGAGTGGGAGGAGGGGGATAAAACACTAGGACCGGATCCATGCCTATGAGGCCATCGAAACTGTCTGCTTAATCAAAGAGAATTACTTGCTTGCATCTGAAACATTTGAGATTAAGGGAGAAGACGTATATTAAACTTCAATTTAAGTTTGGTTTGTCACTTAAACAAGTTCAAATAATAGGGACCTCTATTATAATGAAGGAATGGATACGAGGGCTTACAGATTAAGTTGCTTGAAGGAAAGTGATGTTTTTGAAGTTGATTTCCCTGAATTGCTGCAAGCGAAAGCCAATCTTATAAAGATAGCAATAGAATCTCCCTACGAGCACCACCATCATCAACAAATAGCCAAATCGTTAAACAGAGTAGCAGCTGATATCAGAAGTAGTGACTGGCTTGAAAAGCTTCAATCAGCTGGTTTTGCACCAGAGAAGAATACAGTGTGGGTTCTAGAAGGGTTACTCTACTATTTTACCCACTCCCAGGCGATGCAAGTATTGGAGACAATAGCTGACAAATGCAACATAACCCACACAGTCCTCTTAGCAGATTTTATGAACAAACCCTCAACCACCCTTTCAAATTCTGTTTTCCATTTCTACTGTGATTGGCCTGATCATCTACTCCCATCCCTTGGATTTTCCAGCACTAAACTATCACAGATTGGAGACCCAGATGCTCACTTTGGGCTTATGCACGATCCATTAAATCTCTTCAATAAAATCCGCAGTTTACCAAGGTCATTGCAGACTCACCCTGATGATGGAAAACCTTGCTGCCGCTTGTATTTGGTGCAGGCTTCTGGTTCGCCTCTACTACCACCAATCGAATAAAGACAATCTGCAAGTAACATGAACACCTCTGAGTGAGTAGGTTGGATGGATGTGAGATACCACATCTACCTGCTACATGCTTCATTAAAACTACTCCATGGAGAGAATGTCATATTATATTACTCAAGGTCTCTACACCATACCATATCAGAGGTGTAGGCATACACATGTATTCGAATATATATCCGTAAATTATGCATTTAGAATACAGACAACTATTGGACCTAAATTGTGTTTCGTGAATGAGGTATATTATTCCAAGCATGCCCGAATAATGTTCAATCTTCTGCATGTGAAAAGAAATCGCCTATACAAACATCTTTCCTGAAAAGGGGTTCACCAAATCAATGGCAAAGGCCTAGGGTCTTTGTTTTCAATCAAGGAAGAAGCATATTTCACAATCAATTGAAATGTACAGACTTGTGGGATTCAAAAGTTGAGCCGAAAGTGCTAAATTCAAGCTAAAATATTGGAAGAAGGTTTGAACATCTTTCATCTTGGTACAATGCGAATTAAGTATATACTATACATTATATTTGGATTCTATGAGTAGCGACATGGGATGCTGAAATACAAGTTTGGATTGTAGATTATGTTTTGATAATGCTCGGTTTACAAACACAGGATGTTCAAAATGAATGCATTTCTATACATTTCATACATCAATGAAACTGTTCCATATACAAGAAGAAAAAAAACAACACAGAAAGAAATATGAGCAATATTAGGAAGATAGAACCTCGACTCCAGTGCTTGCTGGAAATTGAACAAAGGAATTCCTGTCGTTCAAAACGCAATGCCTTGCAACAGACTTCAGCATTCTTCGAACAGTCTCCATATCCTTGTTCGAGTAATCGAACGCATTGGTGGCAACTTGCTTGAAATTGAACAAAGGAATTCATGTCCTTCAAAATGCAATGCCTTCCAACAGACATGAGCATTCTTTGAACATTCTCCATATCCTTGTTCGAATAATCGAATGCATTGGCTGCAACTTGCTTCAAATTGAACAAAGGAATTCCTGTCGATCAAAATGCAATGCCTTGCAACAGACTTCAGCATTCTTCGAACATTCTCCATATCCTTGTTCGAATAATAGAACGCATTGGCTGCAACTTGCTTGAAATTGAACAAAGTAATTCCTGTCGTTCAAAATGCAATGCCTTGCAACAGACATGAGCATTCTTCGAACATTCTCCATATCCTTGTTCGAATAATCGAACGCATTGGCTGCAACTTGCTTGAAATTGAACAAAGGAATTCCTGTCGTTCAAAACGCAATGCCTTGCAACAGTCATGAGTATTCTTCGAACATTCTCCATATCCTTGTTTGAATAATCGAACGCATTGGCTGCAACTTGCTTGAAATTGAACAAAGGAATTCCTGTCGTTCAAAACGCAATGCCTTGCAACAGACATGAGTATTCTTCGAACATTCTCCATATCCTTGTTTGAATAATCGAACGCATTGGCTGCAACTTGCTTGAAATTGAACAAAGGAATTCCTGTCGATCAAAACGCAATGCCTTGCAACAGACATGAGTATTCTTCGAACATTCTCCATATCCTTGTTTGAATAATCGAACGCATTGGCTGCAACTTGCTTGAAATTGAACAAAGGAATTCCTGTCGTTCAAAACGCAATGCCTTGCAACAGACATGAGCATTCTTCGAACATTCTCCATATCCTTGTTCGAATAATCGAACGCATTGGCTGCAACTTGCTTGAAATTGAACAAAGGAATTCCTGTCGTTCAAAACGCAATGCCTTGCAACAGACATGAGCATTCTTCGAACATTCTCCATCTCCATGTTCGAATAATCGAACGCATTAGCTGAAACCGGAAATGACGCAAGTAAATACCGAACGNTTGAATAATCGAACGCATTGGCTGCAACTTGCTTGAAATTGAACAAAGGAATTCCTGTCGATCAAAACGCAATGCCTTGCAACAGACATGAGTATTCTTCGAACATTCTCCATATCCTTGTTTGAATAATCGAACGCATTGGCTGCAACTTGACATGAGTATTCTTCGAACATTCTCCATATCCTTGTTTGAATAATCGAACGCATTGGCTGCAACTTCCTTGAAATTGAACAAAGGAATTCCTGTCATTCAAAACGCAATGCCTTACAACAGACATGAGCATTCTTCGAACATTCTCCATCTCCATGTTCGAATAATCGAACGCATTAGCTGAAACCGGAAATGACGCAAGTAAATACCGAACGAAGAGATGGAAAAAGAAAAAAGAGACAGTGAGAAACATACAAAGGAAAAGTAGAACGGCGCGAAGGCTATCTCTGGAGGCATCAATTGGCGCCAAGAGGAACGTGGATGCCTTCTTCTATTGCTCCTTCAAGCAATCCTTCGTTCCTGCTTCAAACAAATCGATAAACTAGGGTTTCAACAAGAAAATAAAGAACAAAAGGACAAACAAACCAATCAACAAAACAATGTTGCGTAGCGTGCTTACAAATGCCGAGATTCAAAGCAGCGGCGGGAGCAGGTAGAAACAGAGACGGCATCGCAGAGAGAAATGAGATCATAGTGAGGCCTCTACGAGATGTTGCGATCGGGAACTGACGGCGCTGCAATTGGCTTTCTTGGAATGGATCATTGTTCTGATCGTGAGACGGCGGTTGGAACCGAGATAATGCGGAGTCCGATCGTTGTCGTGGCTGAAGAACGGGGATACTTTTATGCTTGGCCCAGATTTTTTTTTACTTATTATTATTTTTTAAATAATAAATAAATAACAAATTAGACGATAAAATTAGATAAGTGTTTAATTATTAAGATATTTTAAACTAATTAAAATGAATTATTAAATAATATGTTTTTATCATTTTTAATCTTGAAATAAAAATAATCATCAATCAAATAATTTTAAATTTATTTTATTACTATTTTATCTCAAGGAACCTTTTTTTATTTAACAAAATTTCAATATTAAAAAAAAAGAATAACTACACAGAATAAAATTAGTATTCTCAAATGTAAAATTAAATATAGAAATATATTATTCTCGAGCATATTTGTAAATATCCCTTAAAAAAAATTGAGAGTTTCTATTCTCTTATTAAAGTGTCTGTTTTATACAAGAAATTGACGGACGATAATGGATAAAATTTTATAATTTTTTTAATTTAGCTTAAAGTTTATAGAATTTAATATGAAAATAATTTAAGACTCAAACTGATCAATTATTATTAAATTATGTTAATTTTAACAAAATAATTAATTAATAAGTTATAATATCTATATGTTTACTTCTAATTAATTAAAATGAGTTAAATTAATTAGTTGATCGACCGTTTTCATTCTATATTGACGTTTTTTTTTAATTTTTAAATTGATAACATAAATTTAAAATTTTATTGAAAATATATGAACTAAATTTTATAAAATTGATATTTTAATAA